ATATTTGTTCATATTTTGCTATTTATTTATATATACGTAAGGTTAAGTCAAACTGACGGACGCTTCATAACCGGTTTAATTTGCTTTTTTTTCTAATTCTATGATTAATGGGAAGTAAGCCTAAGGGCGACGCTAGAGGGCGCCCCCAACACATTTGTCGCCCTAGGCAATTGCCTAGCTCGCCTATAGCAATCGCCGGCCCTGCATGTGATGCTAATAATGTTATCATCTCTACTTAGTAATCATCAATCAAGTAATGGGGATATAATTAAATTTCAATAAAACCCAATGCAAAGCCTTTAAACTAGCATTCTAAACGGAAAATGAGCTGAGAGACACAACCATAATTGCAAAATTCTACACAAAATGAAGAGGAAATTATTTTAAACACATTTATTATACTTTTATTTGTGAAAAACCTTAATGGCCAAATTGGTTTGTCTGGAACTTTTTGAGATTGAGGGTTTGTTGTTGATCCTTCAGATTTTTCCAGCAGAGCGAGTCTGGAATTTGCAGGTGGGCGGGACTCATTAGCTGCTCCTGCTTCTCCACACATGAGCAGATCATCAGCCTCATCACCTGGGCCAGCGGTAACCAATGAAAAAACAGCAAGGGTCCGAATAAGGAAAATCATCAACCAATAAAGGTCCAGAGGCATTTTTAATTATAATCTGTTACTTTAAACAGAATTTAACACTGAAATAAAATGAGGTGGTTATGCATCAATGTTATATATTGAATTTATAAATAAAAAATATAAAAAAAATAGAAAATGTTTTCATTTTAAAATGTTTTTATGAAGATAATTTCCTGATTCCCATATTTTCTCAAACCCCTGAACTGAGCGTTTGTTCTTTTCTTTCTTTTTTCTGTCTTAATGTTGGCAGTGGGCTTTGGGCTGCCCTGCAAGGCTTTAAACCTGGGTTTAACCGGAGACTAAGCCATTCTCAAGCACATATCAAGGAGCTCATTTTGAGCCTGGATCCAGATTTATTGTTGATTCTGTTCATGGTGGAGAATCCTGCTTCACAGCAGCAGGTTGAGCCAAACATCCTCTAAATGTGCAGGGTCATCTTT